ATTTTCTTTTGTTAAGTATTGTCACTTCTCTCTCTCTCTCTCTCTCTCTCTCTCTCTCTCTTCCTTTTTACGTTGCATAACTTGAATTAATTACATTGTTATTTTCTTTCCTGTTACATTAATTAAACGTAAAAAACATTTTTTCTATTTCATCACTTTCCAACTTTAATTCATTATTACGTCGATAATGCGTGATGTTTTTTCTTTCGTTTGAAACATAAGAATTCTAATTAAGCAAATGTTACAAAAAGCAGAAAAAATATAATTTTTTGAATGATAAAGCCTAAGAAAATCTAATTCATCATTATTATGTAAATTTAATTCATTATCAACTAAAGGGCTTATATCACGTCAGTTATCGAGAGTTACGACATGTTTGCAACAATGGTCGAGATGAAAATTGCAAAAAAATCGATCCGTAAGAAAACTCATGTTGCACGCAACAATAATCACGCGAAGCGTCTCGTAAGCCGATCGAAGCGTATCCTTCTTTTACTCTTCTTCTAGTAGTTCAGCTTGCAAACCGGTTGTTGTCAGAGTGAATGTATTCGCGATCGTATTAATGCGACGCCAGTCAGTAGAAATATTCCGTATTGTATATGCCAATGACATATATTTACATATGTATTTATAGCTAAGCCTATTTATTAAGGTACGTCGCAGTGTGAGATATTTCGTCGTACAATAATAACGCATTAAAAATCCCATTTGAGGAGGATTGATGCTTATATTTTTTTTCCATATTTGGCTGTGCTTATCGCAAGCGATATTCGTCGGTGAATCAAAATTCCAACATAAATGCATCTTTAATATAACGCAGAGCGCAATGCAGTCGCGGTGGGGATTCCGTTCTGTTGCGGTGTATGTTCGTGGAATGCGGTTCGGATATGCGGCGGATGCAACGCATGCGGAATTTGTTACATGAAACTGTCATAATCTCGTTATTAAAGTATGTCCGATCGATCGACGTTGCGGAAAACATTTCACATAGATAGTTCGCCAAACTTGTACACTTGGATTACAAAAAACTGCATAATTTCAGTAGATATTTTTGATGCAACTATTGTATATTTTTAATTAATTATTGCCATACAAAAGTTAAATAGACAAATTAAATTTGTTATTTTAATCCGGTCAAAATTATTTGGACGAATATTCAAAGTGAATAATTGAGTTCTTGCACGAATTTCATACGAAAAAATTGCTATAATTATTACAATAATATTTTTATGATTGGAAAAGAAATATATGTACAATCAAATTATATTGGTATTATATATAATATATATATATATATATATATATATATATATATATATATATATATATATATATATATATATTGTTAATATATAAGATATTGTAGTTTTTATAATAAGTAAGATTTGATTAAACTTCTATATGGTTGTCTCAATCGAAGAATTATTTTTCTTTCTTTCTAATGTGATCTGCAGAACAAATTGAAAAAACAAGTTGAAAGATCTATATATTCGCACTGAGAATTTAATTTCATTACAGCTATAGAATAGACAATATTATCATCAAAAAGAATCTTTATATACGTATAATGAAGTATGTATTATATTATGATGCTTATTATGCATATTGTTGATATAATTGTAGATAATTAGAATAAAGTTTGCAAAGTTTTATTTTCAAAGCATAGAACTTGAGGATTCTATTCTTTATTTTCAAAGTATCATTTAAAATAAGACAATTTTAGGTTTTAATTTTAATTTATTATGATTATAGGAATTGTAAGTCTAGAAATAATCATTTGCGTAACACAGTTGTAACAACTATAAGCTGCTACCCTTACTATGATTGGAGTAACTATAATCTACTATAAATCACTTTG